TACATAACATGGAATCAGAAAATTGGGTCGGTAATCGAATTTTTTTTTATCAGTTCTATCGGACAATTCCGGAAGAATAGGGTCTCTGTCGGGTGATACCGGAATAATTTTAGTAACCGCACATTTTGTGATATTCCGTTCCTGATATATATAACTGATAGAAAATAGCACGTAATTACAGGACTTAAACTCTCACGCTTCTTGAACGCTTTACTTTTTAAATACTTACCTCGTTAAAGAACTCTTCTATGTTTACTGCTTAGAGCTGAAGCCAGCAACAAAACATTATAATACTCTACCTTAGTTGTAATAACGCGTTATAACGACTAGCGCTAGTTCAGAGTTATAAAAATGATCTTTAAATCTAAATATCCAGATATAAAAATTCCTCAAATTGGAATTTATCAATATGTGACTAGTAATCCAAACAAAATTCCAGAAAATAAAGTTATTTATGTGGACTGGATTACTGGTAAAAGTTATACTTTTGGAGAATTTAAACATGAATCGAAAAAGTTTGCCGCAGGATTACAAGATATGTTAGAATTTAAACGTGGGGATGTTTTAGCAATTTTTTCATCATCTAATCAGGTACTCTTTAAATTATTTTCATTACTGTAGTTAAGTTATTAATTCATTTATTTCATGATATAATTATTTTATTAAAGGTTGACTTTCCTATTATACTCTTTGGAGCAATTGCGGCTGGTATTATATATACTTATTTAAATTAATAATATTATTAATGTTTTCAATTCTAAATTATTATGTATTTATAGGAGGCATAGTAACGACAGTTAACCCAAATTATAAAGGAACTGAATTATCTTATCAACTAATCGATTCAGGTGCATCGGTTCTAATTGTGCATCCAGAAGTTCTTGAAATCGCTATTGAAGCTTTAATCGATGCAAAAATTCCTACCTCCAGGGTATTATTGTTTGGTGATAAAGAAATAAACGGATATAAACCTTATCGTTCTATTTTAATTGGTGACCGTGAAATTGAACCGATTTATTATACTCCTGAAGAAGTAAAATCTACAACTGCCTATTTGCTTTACAGTTCTGGAACAACCGGAAAGCCAAAATGTATCGAACGTACTCATACAAACGTGGTTGCTCATTTGGCTCAGTTAATTATTATAGATAGTAAACTTGGACCACACAGTATAACTATGGGTGTCACTGTAAGTCATATAAAAAATTCCTTTTAAGATATTTTCGGGTCTTTATATATAATTATTTAGAGTAATTTTTTTTTTTTTATTGCTTTAAAAAATAGAAATTTTGCCACGTTTATGCGTTGAATAGGATTGTTCATGCGACCTTAATTTATGTTAGTTTGTTATTCTTCATTTGATGTTGTTTTCATAATTACATTGTCAATTTAGTTAAGAGTTATGCGTTAATAATGTAGGGTGCTACTACAATCATTCATTCAAGCTTTAGTATAGAAACGCTTTGTGAATCAATTCAAAAATATAAAATTAACCGTATTTATGCTGCACCACCAATTATTTTTGAACTTGTCAATTATCCATTGGCTCAACAATTTGATTTATCGAGTGTGGATATAATTCAAAGTGCGGGATCTCCATTAGATAATAAATTGGAAAGAAAATTTTATGAAATGTTTAAAATACCAATTTTGCAAGTTTATGGTAAGTTTTATTTTTAGATCGTTTGAAAGCGTAATTCTCTGATCTTCATTCTAAAAAGTCTTACTATGAGTATTAATTTATTCCTTCATTATGGTTAATTCCTTTATATTATTTTTGTGATATAATAAAGGTCTTACCGAAGTAAGTTCTGTACTATATCATCCTTTTGATACAGTGAAGAATGCATTTCCAGGTATTATGTCATTAAATGCTTACTCTACAACTAAGAGCAAATTTCATGTATTACTTAATGCAACTATTTTTAATAGGCTCTGTTGGATTTCTTGTTCCAAGTATGAAAGCTAAAATATTATCAGAAGATGGTCATGGTAATTATATATATCTGATACGTATTTATTTATTTTTAAGTCAAAATCAAAATCAAATTTAAATTTAATATTTTACATTTTAGAATTGGGATACAATGAGCCTGGTGAATTGTGGGTTCACGGCCCAAATGTTATGAAGGTACATAGTATAACTAAGTATACATACTTAAATAGTTATACTACTTGTACTAAAAATCTTACCTTTCAATAGGGTTATCTTAATAATAAAGAAGCTACAGATTCCGTCATTGACAAAGACGGATTTTTTAGCACAGGAGATATTGTATCTGTTGATGAACAAGGTATATTTATTATTGAATAAAATTTATATTTATTAGTTTGTAGGATGAAATATAGTATAGGTGACACCTTTTTAAATCAATTGATTATTTATTAAGATATTATTAAGATATTATCTATACTATATTTATTCCATTTATACATAATAATAATTCTTATTTTATTTTTATAAGGAAACTTTTTTATTGTTGGTCGAAAAAAAGAGTTGATAATATACAAAGTATGATTATAATAATTATAACATTATATGCATATTATTTACATTAAATTTTACTAAAATTAAAATCAAATTTTGCAGAATTTTCGTGTGGCACCTTCTGAACTGGAATCGATTCTTCTTACACATGATGCAGTATTAGATGCAGCAGTGATAGGATATTATTCTGAAAAAGAAGCAACCGAACTTCCTACAGCATATGTTACAATTAAAAACGAGTATGGGCAATCTCAAGCTTTAGCAAAAGAAATTCAATCTTTTGTAGATGAAAAGGTCATGTCACATAAAAAATTAAGAGGTGGTGTATTGTTCATTAATAGAATTCCAAAAAATGATATTGGTAAAATTCAAAGAAGATTATTAAGAGAGAAATTAAAAAATGATGTTAAAGAATGATAAAATGAATTAGCTTATAATTTTAGACAATTATTAAGTGACATTACTTTTATAGCATATGTATATTATATCTCTTAAGAATTAAAAATTTGCATAATTTTATGCTATTTCCTGAGTTATGTTGGGATTTTAATAAACCATCGATTCAGGCAATAATTTAAAAAAAAGAAACATACAAATTAAAGAACTACTAAATTTATTATCTTTATTATTGTCATTAATAAATATGAATTGCGTATTACTGTATTATCAATGGTCTATTACATTTAATCTCATCGTCCGCATTAAAAACCGCTCAATCTTCTTTAGGTGCAAATTGAAAATGATATACAGTACCACAAAGTGCTGAATAGTTTATACCAGGAGAGATTCATCGAAGAAAATGCTCAGCTGTTGTAAAGCATTGAAGACTGGCAAAATTGGATGAAAAATACATCTTAATTCTTGCAAAAACCCTAATACATCAGTTAGCACCTTACGGTATGTCAATTGACAATTGAAAAATGGCGCGCAACTTATTTACAGTATTAATTGGTTGAATTGATACCACTTGTAGCAACTGCATTTGACGTAGATAGAATTTCATATAATTGTCCATTTAAAAAATAAATGTAAGCAATGCAACGGCTTCTTTTTAAATTCAAATACAATAAAATTACGTAAAGTATAAAAATCTTTGTTATTTATTGTTGTCACGTTGAATTTAATTTTCATTAATATTTGCTGTTTATGCCGTCTTTGCTGTTCTTCAGGTATCATTGATGTTAATAGTTTTCTTACAACATTATTTCTGTATTTTTAGAATACTTCAATAAAATAATTTATTAATTACATCACGAAGTTATAAAAAAATAATAAATCTAGATGATTAGCCAATCTAAAAAAGCATTGAAAAACGGGGCTTCATTAAACATTGCAAAGTATGAAATATCATTATAGAATGCACATGTTATTTAACTAAGTAGTTAAATATCCAATTGTATATTATACTGTAATGATTATCTTTAAAGGCACGATGTTTATTCTTTTAAATTAAACAACGAGTTTATTATTGATTTTAAAACTTCTTTATGCAATCTGCCTTTATAAATTTGTATTTATAATATAATTCATTATTATTTTTTCTTGAAGATTTTTATAATAATGAATTTTTGATTGATTAAAATTATAGACCAAAATCAAAATTTATTTGTGCCAGATATCGCCTAAATTTAGAACAACATGGATCTAATATGATAAAAGATAAATAGCGAATGCAATAATAAATTATAAATTTTTAAGTTAGCCGCCATTACTACGTATAATGTTAAGCAATTTTGATTTCCGAATTATCAATAATGCAAAGTGATGGTCGATCACATGATCAGAAAGCGAAGCAGCCACATGTGCGGCGCCACTACATGCCACGCATCGAATCTCGTGCAGCGCTAACCTAAGAAAGGAAAATGAAGACAGATAACGACATATGTTAGCGACGCACAAGGGACCGGGTAGCCAAAGCCTCAAGAAAGATGCAAGGCGCATTTAAACCAAGAAACAGAATACGGATCCAGTGATGCTTAAACCCGAATGATCAAAGTTTGACCTACCCAAAGGGATGACCACGTGATTTTACCACCTCTCTACCTGCGCATACTTCAATTTCTCAATCAATACTATACCTATACTAACAGTCGGTTTGCTTTAGCGAGCGGAAAACCACCGGCTAATCAATCCTACGGCGACTCCCAGCGCAATGTTTATTGCAACCTCTCAGGATGTCATTGCCATTTTGGCCAATCTCGGTCAATCACTCGCTTCATGATCGTGTACTAATCACTACTTAATTGCTTCAATAGAATCATCTCCGGCCTAAAATAACTTGCCGGAATAGTACAATAATAAAGTGCAATGCGATGCTTTTCGTAGAAATCTGCGCCCAAAACTTGCCTATCTGAGTAATTGTTGTAATAGGAAACTGGTATTTTAAGAGCCAATCAGTGTTTATTTTAGCATGTGCTGATCGTTTAAATTTATTAGATTTTTGAAGTTTTTTGCAATACCAGGAACGTTAGTGTATGGTTTTACTGGCATCTAAAACGAAGGCAAAATCTTAAAGCTGATTGGTGCATAT